GCACACCCGCCTGTTTTATACAAAAGCTTACGGCCAAAGGCCAAGAGAGGCTGGTGCAAAAAGCTGACAGCGACAGTAGATCAAGTGGATGTTTCAGATTTGAGTCCAATAAAAAAAACACACCAAAAGTTGGAGGTGATAAACTCATGACCTTTGGTAAGTTCTAGAAGGATAATTAGGTGAGTTCAGGTCGTTTGGTCCAAATATTCGTGGTTTTGCTTTAGATTTTGAATCATTGAACGCAGATGCATGTCGAGAAGGAGATAGCTGCACGTCGATTTAGATACCAGGAGGGCTCCGGTTTGACGTAGTTGTAATGATAACATTAGTGTTTTATCTAAGTTGAATTTTCTGTTGCTCTTATTTGCGCAGTAGGCCTACAATTTCCTATCTTTTGCTGACTGTTGCTGTTACATTTAATACTCGTTTGGTTTATGTTTTTACAGCTATGTGAATGTGTGTATGTATGTGTGTAGTTGCTTGAGTGTGTGCGTGTGTGCATGTGTGTACGTGTGTGTGTTTGTGTGTGTGTGTTTGTGTGTGTGTGTGTGTGTGTGTGTTATGTATGTGTGTACGAGTGTGTGTGTGTGTGTGTTTTGTGTGTGTGTGTGTGTGTGTGTGTGTGTGTGTGTGTCTCTCTCTCTTCTTCTTCTTCTTCTTCTTCTTCTTCTTCTTCTTCTTCTTCTTCTTCTTCTTCTTCTTCTTCTTCTTCTTCTGCTTCTGCTTCTCCTCACCCCTGTCCTTCCTCCTATACCATTCTCAGGCAATTTCTTAAATAAGTAATTTTTAATAAAACCATTTAATGCATGTTCAATTTCTTATTCTCTTTCCATGATAATCTTTGCCCCCCTCCCCCACCTCTTATTCTTTCCAAAAATTGTTGATGCTTAACAGCCAGTAAAAATGCAGAAGAGTGCTTCGTGTTCTCTTTGGAGCAATGTATCATTGGCAGGGTGTCATAGTCAAAAGAAAAACTCCCCTAAAGAAAGAAGCAATCAGGATCTCTGTCAGATTCAACCATTAATCTTTCAACAGTTGATCAACACTGTGACGATTTGCATCATTGAGGACTGTGATTGTTAACGCTTGCCTTGTCCTTCACTGCCCAAAATCGATATCGGTACCAAATTTAGATCATTTAGGTGGCAGGCTGCTTTGACATACCCTGCCTGTCAGAGCCAATGGGACTGAGTGGGACTCAGGATTCGAGGAGTGGGACTCAGGATTCGAGGAGTGCGACACAGGATTCGAGCCCACAGTCGGAGAGGTCCTATAAAGTGATTTACGCACTCGGGAATCGAACACATATCTTCTGAGATTGATGTTAAAAAAACCCCACTTTAATCATTACACCACAGAGGTAGGTCACTGGGGTGTACTTGACTTCAAATGCCCTAAACGATAATGTACATTTCGGTCAAACAGAAGCGGTATATTGATTAGGTGAGAGTTTTGGTCAAATGTGTTATCGTATACCCTTGCAGGCTATCAACGAACGAAGGTCTCCACCCCTTTGATTATTGTTTTCCAAACTGAGGAAGATAAAGTGTGACAGTAAAAGTCAAAGTCCAACTTTCACTTACACGTTGCAACAACCCGTATGCCTGCGATTAAGAATATTATTTATCCTTTGATCAGCCATATAATTTTTAAAAAAAAACTCAGGTCGTTTTGATTTTTCTACACTAATGTTCAGCAGGTAATGCCTTAAGACAATAGAGGAGTACAATGATGTTTCAAAACTTTTTCAAGTTTTTTTTTTAAAGGTAGGAAATTTAAATCATTAGTGCATGACGTCATTTCTAGTCGGTGATAACATTTCTTGGTTAACCACGCAGGTCGTCTTGACTCATCAGTCATCGTTTGTGCTTTGTTTAACACGGAAGTTTTTCTTAGATCTTACGTCACAAAGTAAAACGAGGAAACAAAGAAAATTACCCACCCATTTTCCGAATTTTCCTCTGAAAATTTACCTTATAAGTGCACGTTCAAAGTTTGCAGATAATGAACCCCTCCCCCCAAAAAACAACAACAAAACAAACAAAAATCAAAAACAAAAACAAAAAAACAAAACAAAAATAAAATAACAACACACACACACAAACACACACACACACACACACTCACACACACACACACACACATACACACACACATACACATACACACACACACACACACACACACACACTCACACATTTGTCACGACGCGGTGGAATGAGGCGCTCGTAAATTGTTAGGCATTTGAAGTTATCGACATCATCCTAAAGCTTGTTTATTTATTTCCCTTGTGATGAAAAAATAGCCATTAATCTTGAATAGAAGTAGGGATATTTGTTGTGATTGAAAGAGGTAAGTGCCACCTACTGTCAGAAGACAAATTAGAGACAAAAAGGCTGGTGACTCTCAGACCTTGAGTGTCCATTTTCTATATGCCTTAGATCAACGTTTATCAGTAAAATCCACACATAAATGTGTTTAAAATGGAAATTACAGGTGT